GTGCCCCGACCAGACATCCGGATTCAATTGGATTCAGTTGGTCTGTAGTGAGTGCCCATCCTCAGTCATTTTTAAATGTTTGCCCAGTTGATTCTAACGTGCGGTCAGGGTTGAGATCCATGATGGAGCAGGTGAGATGGCCCCATGCCAGCAAGTATGAATACCGAGAGTTGAGAAGTACAAGCTGTAGGAACAGTGTGCTGGGCACCTTGCCTGGTCCAAGGAGGCCAAGGAAATGCTCCAAGAGTAGGTGACGTTTACTGATATTTGGAAAAGGCAGGTCAGCCAGACTGGGGAAGTGTCATAGACCAGGGGACTCCTGATCCAGGGTCTTTGTACTTGTGGTGCCCTCTGCTTGGAATCCTCTACCCCATTTATCCATAGGATTAACTTCTCACTTCCTTCAAGTCTTTCCTCAAAAGCTCTGGTGTCACTAGGCCTTCCCTGGACACCCTACCCTTACTTCATATTCTCCTCTGCTTTATTTTTATCTTAGTATTTACCACTAACATGCTGCATTTATTGTTCATTTTATTAGCTGTTTTTCCTACCAGAAAATATGTATAAAAACAACTTCCCCACCAGAATACCCTCACTCCTTAAAGGCAGGGACTTTTGTCTGTTTTGTTTATTTTATATCCCCAGTGCTAAGACAGTACCTGGCGCATAGTAGGCACTCCACCCATTTATTGGCACTGCTTTTTACAGTGGAGAAATCTGAGGCTCAGTGAGATTACATAATTTACTCAACATCACACAGCTAGGAAGTGGCGGAGTTGGGTAGTTACTACAGGGTGGAGCAAAAGCATGCTTACCGTTGTGTGTATACGAAACACAGAGTTAATTCTTGTATTATTATTTATTAATTATTGTATTAGTTTTTCCTTAACTGTAAACCTACTTTTGCCCCACCCTGTATTCTATGATGCTTTACGACATGAAAGTACCATTTAGCAAAAGGACAGAGCAATATCACTGGCCCCTCTCCAGCCTCCCTCCCGCCCACCAGTTGAGGAAAAATCTTTTACATGAGGAAGGGTTTGGTGTGGGAGGCTTTGTGGCACTGCCCTGTGGAGCCTTGACGAGGGCGTTCAGATCTGAGTGTTTTTAAGCAAGGATGGTGTGTAGCCATCTCAGCACTTGTTTCGGGGCAGGAAGGCCAGTGACTGTATGACATGCAGAGCAGCTGCTCGAGGGGCACGGCAGGCAGCAGGAAGGAAGAGAGGCTGCATGTGTTTGAAATACTTGGGGAGGATTTTAACAGCTGTCACTGGCAATCCCACCCAGACTCGCCTAAACATTCCTTCCTGTTCCATCCGTTACAGTGAACACATAAAGAGGAACCCTAGCAGAATACAGGAAGAGCAATCAGAGAACAACCCTATAATTAGATCCGCCAAAGCTTTGTTAGAATGAGGGCAGTGATTTTTAAAGAGCGTCTTTTTTTGAGGAAGAGGAAATTGGGTGGACGGTGGCTGTGCCAGGAGGTGAAACCCAGGCCTTTCCTCCCCCGGCTTGGGAAGCCACACGGCTGGCGCTGTCCCTGCACCGGGACCAGCCCCCTGGGGGAGCGGAGTTTCTGGAAGCAGAGCCCAGGCAGCAGGTGGCTTTCCTAAACAGTTCAGAGGGAGGAGGCAGGGCCAGGGCAGGAGTGGAGGGGGATTCCATAGGGCCAGGCAGAGTGAGGGCCTGGCACCTCCCGAAGCCAAGGGGGCCCCGACACACTTAGGCTGGTGCCCAGCACAGAGCCAGTCCTCAATATGTTTTCTTTTCAAGAACAAAACGAGGGGCTGAGACAATGGCTCAGAGCAGGACTGGGAGAGGCTCTTTTCAAAGGTCCTGGTGGTAACCCAAAGAGTAGAGGAAGGGATAGAGCCACTTAGGCTGCAAAATGCCTTCTGTTGGCAACGTCCAGCTGCTTGCTCTCCTCCTCAGAGGTGCAGACAAGGAGCTGCTGCAGCAGCAGTCTTGGGCTCTGGGCATGTCTTCCATGTTCTCTTCAGAGCACCTGCCTGTGCACATGCTCACCACCAGTTCCAGGCCCCTGACAGGTGCCTGCACGCTTCACCCAGATCCCTCCTCAGCTGATGCCCTCACCCTCCAGCTGCTGTCCTTTCTGAGAGTGGCCCTTGCCCACATGGAATTCTGGGAATGGCCCTTGCCCCTCCCAGGAGCACCCTGAGACCAGTGGCTGCAGGTTACAGGACACCTTCCAGTTTGAAACAACTCTACAGGGTCATCCAGCCCAGTGCTAGGACAGTACCTGGCACATAGGAGGTACTGGACCTGGAGAAACTCACTGTGGGTGAGCGTCCCCAGTCATGCCTTCCAATCCTTCCCCACGGGTGTCTCTGGAGAGCACTCCCCAAAAGCCTCTGCCTGTGACTGTGGGGAGCCCACTCCTGGGCCCCAGCCCTTTGTTGTTTGTTGTCTTTGCCTCCTCAACCACAGCCACTTATCTGACCTCCCAGAAAACCTCTTTCTAGCCCAATGACTAGAAAGCAGGTGCTGATGGGTTAATATGCTGTCCAATAAAGTTATTGTGGGAGCCGATACTTATGTGAAGCTAGCAATCTACAAAACATGCTTGCATATATGATTTCATTTCCAAAGCAGAATAGTACGATGATCTCCAAAGTGAGTCTGTCCGGATTTGAATCTTGGTCCTACTACTTATTAGTCTTGTGACCTTGGGCTACATAACCTTTCTATTGCTCTACTTCCCATCTGTCAATGGCATAGTAGTGGTCCATTCCTCCTAGGGTTTTTGTTAGGATGAAATGAGTCAGTACTCGTAAGGTCTCAGAATAGTCATGATACTCAGTAAGCACATAGTGTATGTTAGTTATTAGTATTTGATCCTCATAAGAACTCTGTGAGATATTATGATTAGTAACTGGGTTAGGCATCTCTTGTACCCCGCCTTGGACTCTTCCAGCCCACTTTTCCACTCCAGTCCTCGCTAAAGCCACCTGCTGGCGCAGGTACAATCCAATAGCACCTTGCTCAGCTGTTCTTCTTCTTCTTCTCCTCCTCTTCTTCCTCCTTTGCTTCCTCCTCCTCCTCCTCCCCCTCCTGCTTTTCTTTTGGAGTGGCTTAAAATTTTATTTTAAAAAGTGGGGTGGAAAAAAAGTATATGAATGAGAATCTGCATATTTTTTGTTCCTATTTATTCTCCACATGCATCTACTGTGATAAATTGTAGCCAACAGCTCCTTTTTTAATGAACAGACTCTGAGGAGGAAAGAAAACCTCAAACCAGGCACCTTACAAAAAGCTCTCCTTTTCTTTCTGGTTTTGGGGAAAGAGCTTCTAACTTACTAATAGCTAATAAAGGTTAGCCTTGAATGAAAAATTCAATAGGTGTGAGACTTAACCTCTGTGGAGTGCAGCTGTCCCTTCTGGGGATCCTGGGGACCACTGAGAGCTGGCACCCTGACGAGGCTGCAGTGATCCGCTGTGTGCTAGTCCTTCTTGCAGGAGAGCAGATCTTAGGATCTCCTTACACTCTACTGCCTAGTAATAGCAGCGCATCACATACACATCATTCATTCCCTAATGCAGATGATGGCACACGCATCTGCTCAAGACACTTGGAAAGAGAGTGCTAGAAGAGAAAGCAAAAAAGAGCCTGCTTGGGGAATGTGTGAATCCATGGTTGACAGCGGTTCACCATGTGTGTTCCCGCAATCTTGCAGCTCCTGGCTGCTTCTCTGTACTGCTTATTTCTTACTTCCTGCCACCTCCACCTGAGGGGCCTGTGGAACACATTCAGCCATTCTGACCCAAGCAAATGTGGAAGCGTGATGGAGCTAATACCCCCGTGTGGCATCCCTGTAGTCCCTTCTTTTTTGCCCCCTCAAGGTCCAACTTCATTGCCCAGAGCAGCGGGCACCCCAGGCTTGGCTTCCCTCCTTCCCTGTCTCATTCTTCCCAGTTGCCCACTCCTGTGTATGAGCTCGGAACCCATAATATCTCCCCTGCACAAGCCCCACCTCATGTCCTGTGTTATGGGAACCATCTAATTGCACAAGAGGAGCGTGAAAGAATAAAAAGAGGCCCACTCAATATCCAGAATCAGATCTTGACGCAAGTCAAAGCCTCCCACCTGCCGAATCTCATGCCTTCACACCTCCCAGTTGATACATGTGTATCTTAACGGAGGCTTGGAAGCTTGATTAGCCAATGGGAGGCCAGGGAGGAAACAGCTATGAACAGGTGGCTCTGGACACTTTCCTGTCACAGCCCCTCTCCTGTCCCCACATAGAGCTGGTCCTACGTGGCCAGAGCACGATGCACAGTGGTTCCCCTTGACGGGAGCCTGGACCGGGGATTGTGCTGAATTTGTCTTTATTTCACCAGCACTTGGGCCTGGCATACAGTAGGTGCTCAGTAACTGTTTGCTGGATACACAGGTTCAGAAATCAAACTATTGATGGTTTCTGTTTAATGATTGCTTTTTATGTGCCCATGCCTGTTCCTATTTAGTGTTTATTTTTTATGCTGGTTTGGAATGTGAAGTTTAATGGACAGAGAACATCCTGGGGAGAGGGTTGTTTCCGTTTTTACCAAGCTAAGTTAGCACAGAATCATGTGTCTGAGAATTATTCCAGATATACTGAATACTTCTTGAAATTATTCCAGAAAACCTAATTATTGATGAAAGAAATAGCTAGGAGCTGTCAAAGTGGTGGCTTATAGACAAATGTAGCCCTAAGACAAATGGGTTTTGCCAGCACAATGTTTATCATTTTATATTGAAATTCCCTTGAAATAGGCTACAGGCCCTACCACTCCCTATAGCATCCTACCTGTCCTAATTCTCAAATCTGTGTTACCTGCATAGACCTTGTAGGTACATGGGTTTGTGGTCCCTGCACAGAGTGACACACAGCAGGGTATTCCGTATACAGAAAGAGTGGAAGCTGCTGACCAGCACAATTCCTGACTTGTCCAATAGCTTACTCAGCCCATTGATAGCATAATGCCGTGCCTTCCAGGTACTACAAGATCTCCGTGGTGCTCATGTGCTTTGTGGTCCCCACACTGGTGCCCTGGTACATCTGGGGAGAGAGTCTGTGGAATTCCTACTTTCTGGCCTCCATCCTTCGCTATGCCATCTCACTCAACGTCACCTGGCTGGTCAACAGTGCCGCCCACATGTATGGAAACCGGCCCTACGACAAGCACATCAGCCCCCGGCAGAACCCGCTGGTCACACTGGGCGCCATTGGTGAGTAGGGTGTGAGAGCCAATGGGGAGAAAGACAGCTCGATTTTCTTGGCATCTCCTGGTTTTGCGGAATCTGTAAAGAGAGGCAGTGGAGTGGAATGGAATGAACTTGGGCCTTGATGTTAGAATCCTGGCTCATGGACAAGTTACTTAATCTCTGATTTATGGTCTTCTGACCTGTGAAATGGGAATAGCAATGCCTTCTTGATAGGGATGTCGCAAGGATAAAGTAAGATACTTTTTTATGTAAATTGCTTGGTACAGTACCTGGCACATAGCAGTGATCAGTAATTAGTAGGGATTTGTTTTGCCGTGGAAATTTACTTATGGGAGGGTAGCAGTTGAATTCTCTCTCCAACTGCCTGGACCACTCTAGCCTCAGCTGTCCATTTGGCTGATCATAAAAAAACAGGCTTCAGATAAGGAGATGGGAAGAAATGAGACTGTGGCATCTCTGGGCACCACAAAAACGGTTAAGAGTGAGGCTTCGGGAGTCCAACACGTTTGGTAGAGTCCTGGGTCCTTCACACACTGTCTGGGCAAGTTATCTGGTTCCTCCACACCTCATGTTCTCCTCTGTAAAGCGGGAATAATGGTAGCACTTACCTCCTCCTGGGGTTGTTGGGGGGTTAGATAAATTAATACATAGCGTTTGCAGCAGGACTTGCACAAAATAAGCCTCTAGTGATGTTGTTTTTATTACTCACCATATGGTCTTGAGCAACTGACTTGTCCCTTCTGTGCATTTACATCCTCCTTTTAAAATGGGGATGATCGTCGCTTGGAGGTGTGAGGGTTACAGGAGTTCATTCTCATTAGAGTGCTTCGCACCGTGGCTGGCACCCGGCAAGGGGCTGATAAGTGTAGAAGCAGTCGGGCTTCTTGGTGAGCTGAGCCTTGAGCACAGAGCTCAAACCCAGGGGGAGAAGTCCCTGCCGTGGAATAGGGGTGATCTCCGTGGAATAGGGGTGGTCTCCGCATCACTCAGCAGCGAGCTCCCACCGCCACTTTGCTAGGGTTTTCCATTTAAGACCCCGGGGATCTTTTGTTGACAAGAGCATATCTAAGGTGGAATGACACCAGATTTAGCTATGGGATGATGGATAAGCAGAGAGAAAGGTGCCCTGGGAAGCTGGAGGAAGAGTTTCCTGTCCCTCCTATTGCTTTCTCCTCCTGTCACCCTCCATCTTCTAGAAGGACTCTGACGAGGGGAGCCGCGTCCAGCGTTGACCCTGAGAGTGGACGTGGGTGGGGACAAGAGAGACTGTTACCATTTTACATAGAGAAGGAGGCCCAAGAAACCCACGGAAAATGGCCACGGCACACGCTGTGAAGAGCTGGGCACTGGTTTTATGTTTACCCAGGTCCACACGGAGCTCCCAGTCCTTGGAAGGCTCTTGTTACACCCAGCTGTACAGGCCACTGACTGTTTCTGAAAATACGGGGGCAGGGGGAGGTGCTAAACTTCTCTATACCATACTCTAGACCAGGAAAAAAACTAAAAATGACCAAGGTGGAGGGGCAGAGCAGAGAAGACCACAGGAAGAAAGTTGCAGACTACAGATCAGTCCGTCTGCTGCACTCATTGTAGAGCAGAATCCTTCAAATGTGGTCAACAGAAGAACTATGTGATGACCGATAGCCACTTAAGTAGTGATGGAAGAATCGTGCAGTTCTTTAAATAGTAAAAAACAGTGACTATATAACCCAGCAACTCCATTCCTCGATTTATACCTAAGAGGAATGAAAACATACGTGCACACAAAAAGTTGTATATGAATGCTGATAGCAACATTATTCATAATTGCTAAAAAATGGAAATAATCCAAATGTCCATCAACTGATGAATGGATAAATACAACTGCATAAATACAGTGGCACGATAAGTGGTATATTCATATAAAAGGAAATGAAATGCTGATACCTGCCACACCTTGAAAACATGATGCTAAGTGAAGAAACCAGTCTCAGAGGATTACATAATACGATTTCATTTATGTGAAATGTTCAAAATAGGCAAATCTATAGAAATTGTATCAGTCAGGGTTCTCCAGAGAAACAGAAACTCTTTCTGTGTGTGCGTGCGCGTAATGTTCCTCATAATAAATTTCCCTATATATAGACACAGTAGGATGTGTACGTAAACATAGATATATCCTATTGTTTCTGTATATAGATAGAAAGATCAATTGATTTATCATGATTTAGCTCATGCTATTATGGAGGCTGAGAAGCCAGGATCTGCCATCTGCAAGCTGGAGACCCAGGGAAGCCAGTGATGTAATTAAATCATGGAGCTAAGAACCAAGAGAGCCAATCGTGTAAATTCCAGCCCGAGGGCAGGAGAAGATGAGATAGATGCCCCAGTTCAACCAGAGAGTCAGGAAAAAAGGGGCAAATTCCTCCTTCCATTTGTTCTATTCAGGCCCTTAATGGATTGGATGAAACACACCCACACTGGGGAAAGTGATCTACTTTACTGAGTCCATTGATACCAATGTTAATCTCATCCAGAAATACTTTCATAGACACATCCAGATTAATGTTTAATAGGTAACCCTTGGCCTCGTCAGGTTGACAGAATTAACCATCACAGCCCTGGCTGGTTGCTGAGTGGTTAGAGCATTGGCCCTCAGGCCAAAGGGTCGCAGGTTCGATTCCCAGTCAAGGTTCATACCTCAGTTGCAGGTTCCCCAGCCCTGGTAGGAGGCAACCAATCGATGTGTCTCTCTCATGTTGATGTTTCTCTGTCTCTCTCCCCCTTCTCCCTCCTTTCCATTCTCTCTAGAAATCAATGGGGGGAAAATGTCCTCAGGTGAGGATTAAAAAAAAAATTAGAATTAACCATTACACAGACAGAAAGTAAGGCTGGGAGGTGTGAAGGATGGTTGGGAGATGACAGCTCTGGGGTTTAGCCAATGAAAATATTACAATTCATTATGATGATGGATGCACAGTCTGAGCATTCTAAAAACCATGAAATCTTATACTTTAAACAGGTGAATTGTATAGTGAGTTATATCTCAATAAAGTTGTTTTTTAAAAATCAAATGAACGAAGCTCTGAAAGAATCTCCCACCCCTCCTGAAAATACTTTAACAAAAAGGAGGAAAAGCTGCTATTCACTGGGAGGGATAGACTACTATATAGACAGATTTCATATATTTAACGATCCAACCCTTGATTTACTTACCTATTGGAACAATTCTCATTTATTTCTCCCAGGCTCTCCCAAGGTCTCACTCTAATCACCCCAGTCCACAGAGGCTGTTTTCCTTTTATGAACATACTAGAGGCCCGGTGCATGAAATTTGTGCACAGGGGGTGGGGGTGGGGGTGGGGTGTCCCACAGTCCAGCCTGCACCCTCTCACAAGCCAGGACTGCTGGCTCCCAACCGCTCTCCTGCCTGCCAGCCTGATCAATGCCTAACTGCTCCCCTGCCAGGCTGGTCACCCCCAACTGCCCTCCCTTGCAGGCCTGATCACCCCCAACTGCCCTCCCCTGCTGGCCATCTTTGACCACATGGGGGCGGCCATCTTGTGTGTTGGAGTGATGGTCAATTTGCATATTACTCTTTATTATATAGGATATCAAAATGATGGTCTGTTACCAGCCTCTCAGCACTTAGCTTAAGAAGTACAGCTCTGAAGTCATGGTAGCGTGTCTCCATTCATAGAGGAAATTATCTAGGGACTTTATGCTGATAACTTTGTTGTTCTTTTGTTTACATTGAGTTGTTGTAGCCAACTAAGTAAAGCTTCCTAAGGGCAGGAACCAAGTCCTTTGCTCTCTAAAGAGCCTGCCACAGTGCCTGGCACATGGTAGATCCTCAGTAGATGAGTGATTAAAATATCCGTGCAGAGAGGTGGCGAATGGTTTATTTCAATGCTCCTTTCTCTCCCAGGCGAAGGCTTCCACAATTACCATCACACCTTTCCCTTTGACTATTCTGCGAGTGAATTTGGCTTAAATTTCAACCCGACCACCTGGTTCATTGACATCATGTGCTGGCTGGGGCTGGCCACTGACCGCAAAAGGGCAACCAAGCCGATGATCGAGGCCCGGAAAGCCAGGACTGGCGATGGCAGCGCTTGAACCCGGAGCTGCCGTCCAACCTGCCCGCCGCTGACACTTTGGTTCATGCCTTCTGTTTCTATAGTTCTCTTGCTCATTGGTTCATGGGAGGGGGCGGAGGGTGGGAGGGAGTGGAATCCATGTGGTTGGGAGATTTTTCATTTGTCTCAAAGTCAAGATACAACTTTCAATGAAAAAAAATGTGTAAGTCAGTGTAACGATGATTTAACCTTAGATCTTGGACATGTGATTTAATCGCTGTAGCTACATATCAAACATACATGGTCTTGTGCTAGTACCTAGTGTTAACCCTGACAGGATGAAGGAAGATAATATTCTTTCCGTGTGATTCAGGAGAGCATTTTCTTTTCTGCCAGTTACCCCAGCATTATTTTTAAACACACTATCTGAAGGAACAGAGAAGCAAGGTGGCAGACAAAGGAGGGGGTCTAAGTAGTAACTAAAGAACGTTTCTGTTTTGTAATTATTGTGTGTTTTTGTTGTTTAACTTCGAGAATTGAACATTTTTTAAAAAGGAGGCTACACGAAGTGGCTCTCCTATTATTTTTGCCCTATTTACGGCTTGTTAATGCTCTACTGTCTCTGCTCCCCGAGGTCTGCTCGTGGCCCAGCTAGTTCTGTGTCCCGAGCTGTATGGCCAGCCGACCCTATAAATCAGTGGCTGGTTGGATGTTTGATTTCGCTCTCTTTGCTATCGTCATCTTAAAAGTATGTAACTCGACGTGCCAGACACCAAATGAAGCTCAAATGAAGCTCTCATTTCAGTGTTTAGATGCCTAATTTATATCCAATTGTTCCCAGCCACTGATGCATGTACTTTGGCTGCTTCAGTAATATGCTAAAGAAGCATATTAATTTTCCACACCAGGCCATCAGATTTTACTAACTGACAGTTATCTAGAACTCAGTGTCTACTAATGTTTCACCTGCATGCGGCCTTCATTGGTTTTGCAGCAAAATATAAAGTGATCATTATGTATCTTCTGGATTTAAACATTTTCGTGTGTTAAGTTGCCTTGTAAAGAGCATGTTGAATTAATGGGACAGTGTGCCCTTTGTGTTAGATGTTAGAGCAAAAGAAAGGCTTATAGTGTTGGCGTTGGAGCCCTTCAAAGACAGCTCGTTTTAGGGATGATGTAGGATTTAAAATTAAAATTTTAAAGTTTTGAAAAAGAAGCGATGCCAATAGGAGATTGTCATAATGAAGTTCTTCATCCAGCAGGTGTTTAACAGTGTTACTTTGCCATTAAAAAATGTATAAACTATGAGTGATTTACAATAAATGAGTGTGAATTTGTTGGTGTTCTTGACTAGATACTTAAGTGTTGTTTAGGGAATGTTCTCTCAAGGGTGCCCGATGCTGACCGCATGGTTCACATTTGATTTGGGCTCTGGGATAACAGCAGCCCCTGAGACAGGGCCTCTCCTGTCCCATTGGCCTTGGGCACAACCAGAGGGAAAGTCAGCAGGTTACGCTTGGAATAGTTATTTAGAATCTTCTCACTAAAGGACATGCCCCAGTTAGTGCAAATAAATCCAGAACCTCACTCCTCTGACCTGGGTGCCAGGTCTCCATCTGTAGCAGTAGCATGAATAAGATAAGGATGGAGGTGATTTTGATGAAAAAGTGGACCAAGGTTATATCACTTCGGAGTTCTCCATATTAACCTTACCTGTAGGTCTCAGCAGCATCGAAGAGAAGAAAGTAGCCCAGGAGGCATCAGTTTAAAGTGCGGGAATGTCCTGTTTTTAGTCTCTGGGGCCCTACAAGGCTTATTTCAAGAGTACCCATCCCTGCATCTAGGAGAGCAGAGCCGAGGGAAAGCCGTTCAGGTAGCTCATCCCACGTGAGTCATGGCAGCCACACGAGCGAGCCTGGGCTGGCGGAGCAACTCTGCCGCCCTTCTGGCCAGTTGCGTGGCCTTGAGAAAATCAGTCTTTCTGGATCCACTTCTCTGACTCCTGATCAGAATTGCTGTTACCGCCCTGACCGGTTTGGCTCAGTGGATAGAGCGTCGGCCTGCGGACTGAAGGGTCCCAGGTTCAATTCCCGTCAAGGGCCTGTACCTTGGTTGCGGGTACATCCCCAGTAGGGGGTGTGCAGGAGGCAGCTGATCGATGTTTCTAACTCTCTATTCCTCTCCCTTCTTCTCTGTAAAAAAATCAATAAAATATATATTTTTAAAAAGAATTTTTTAAAAAATTGCTGTTACCTAGGCCAGTGGTCGGCAAATTCATTAGTCAACAGAGCCAAATATCAATAGTATAACGATTGAAATTTCTTTTGAGAGCCAAATTTTTTAAACTTAAACTATATAGGTAGGTACATTGTTATTAACTTAATTAGGGTACTCCTAAGGCTTAGGAAGAGCCACACTCAAGGGGCCAAAGAGCCGCATGTGGCTCGGGAGCCGTAGTTTGCCAACCACGGACCTCGGCTGTGTTTCTAGGCTGAACCACATGAAAGTACCATGCTAATCTGAGCCTCTCTGAACCTCAATATCCTCATCCATGAAATAGGAGCAGTAACGCTGACGCACATAACGCTGATAAACCTGGAGGCCCCGAGCACAGGGCCTGGGCCTCGTAGCTATGCAGGAGGTGGTAGCTGAGTGTGAAGAACGCGCCGGACACAAGACAGAAATGGATGTAGTCACGTAACCGCAGACGAGTGAGGAGGACCAGCTCCTAGTTCTTCTTTTGCTACTTAATTAGCCGGATGGTAAAGGGTAGCAGACTTTGCCCAAAAGATGCCACTTGGACATAGGATTGTTCTGAGTGAAAGGCGCTTGAAAAGCAGCACATGCAGGAAGGGGACTCTGACTCCCGCTTCCTGGAAGCAGGCGATGGAGCTCCCAGGTGAAAACTGTGTTCTTTGCAGGAGAGAAAAGACGCATTCTCATCACCCGAGAAAAGGCTGAGAAATCCTTACCTTCCTTTAGCACCTCCCTCCTCCCCCATATGTTTTAGTTTCTGGCTCCCAAATGTGTAATAACAAAATGCGCGTGCTTCTCTCCTGCTCATCTGTCTTAGGTCAACTTAATGCTCGGGCCCAGCCAGCGACTGTAGGAGGGAGAAGGAGCGTCTTACGCCCCTTCAATGGCCCTAACCTCTCAGAGCTTCAGCACCCCTTCTGTAAAGGGGCCTGAAGGACTGGGTTATCCCGTCTGCTCTGCCCTTTTAGGAGTCATTCCTCTCTGTGTGAAGAAGCCCCCCAGGCAGGCAGCGCCTTTGCCCCGTGCAACTCCGGGTAGTCTCTTACCTGTCCCTCTGAACCTCTGGCTTCTTTCCCGTGCCTCCCGCCAACAGAGGATGACACGTCTGGCCTCAAGGTCGTTTAGGCTTCCGGCAGCTCATATTTCTCCTCATCAGGAGCAGGGCGGGAAGGCTTGTGAAGGGAAGAGGTTGAAGCTAATGGATAGGAATGAGCTGTGGGGGTTGCCTGTGAGGCTCCTTTATCATTTCAGCCCTACCCCTGGTTACAGAGGAAACTGAAAGCCAGTCTGTGCTCAATGGCTCCTCGTGTGAAAAACAAGGAAGGAAAGAAACGACCTAACCTTTATGGTCCTTTTAAACATTTCCCCATTTTTGGTTCGGGTTTTAGTCTAAGTTCCCTCCTTGCCCTTCCTCGACGTCAAGGAAGTGCTATAAAAGACTGCGCTGCTGCTCTCTCTATGGACCGCAGGGGCCATAGCCTCCTGCCCCCACCCTGGGAATGTTCCTGACTTCTAAATTTGCACCATCAGAAGCAAGAGGAAGGAAAGTGTGGCGTGACACACCTCTAAGGCAGCACGCCCGTGTCCTAGCAGCTGCTGCAGCTCTGTGACAGCTTTTTCTTTTCCTCTCCCTTTCACCCTCCCTTATGCCTGAGACCAGCCAGCACTGTTCTGCCTGACCTCTCCCAGAATCCAAAAGGAAAACCGCTGCCAGCACCCAAGCTTAGTACACTAAGGAAGAGCACTTTCTCCATAAACAAATGAAAATGAAAACACAGCAATCCAAAATCCATGGGACACAGTGAAAACCAGTCCTGAGAGGGAAGTTCATAACACTACACCCCTAGCTAAAAAGATAAGAAAGGAAGAAAGAAAGGAAGGAAGGAAGGGAGGATGGAAAGAAAAGAAAAGAGAGGAGAGGAGAGGAGAGAGAAGAGAAAAGAAAAAAGAAAAACTGGTAATAACTTATCTAACCCTATAACTTATAGAACTAGAGCAGTGGTTCTCAACCTTCCTAATGCCGCAACCCTTTAATACAGTTCCTCATGTTGTGGTTAACCCCAATTTCATTGTTACAAATTGAACATAATTAAAGCATAGTGATTAATCACAAAAACAATATGTAATTATATATGTGTTTTCCGATGGTCTTCGGCGACCCCTGTGAAAGTGTCATTCGCCCCCCAAAGGGGTTGCGACCCACAGCTTGAGAACTGCTGCACTAGATCATGGTGTGGTTATATTTTTATTCCACATAAGCCTGAGTTCACAGTGTATGGATCCCCAACACAGGAGCTGCATGTAGAGACTGCTCCTTATCCTGGGCTGTCTGACAACACTTGTGCGAGGCTCAGGGAGGAAGCCAGGGACCCTCTATCAGGTATGCCTGGTGATTGCTGTGATCATTGGTGGAGGATGGATGACTTGGGCTGCCAACAGGAAGATCCAGTGTCTTAAAGACCAAGTGATCAGTGTAGGAGATGGTTTTCCAGCTCCAGCAAACTGGAGTGGGTTTTCCAGCTTCAGCAAACTGGAGTGGGTCTTCCCTACCCATCCACCTCATGGCTGAGGAGGATGGGTAGGGAAGACCCACTCCAGTTGCTTCCTGGTCCTGAAATTCCCACCCATGAATACAGGAAGGGCTCTGCGAGAGCCGACTGGACTCCCTCTCCTCCCTTCAGTGAACAAAAAGGCACTTAGGCTCTGGGCACCACAAAGTGCTTGTCCCAGATGTACCCACCAGGAGCACATCTATGTGCACTCTCTCCACCTGCTGGACTGAGCTGTTTGTAACACACAGCGTCCAAATGCTTCCGGTCAGCTTGTTGGGATGTGCACACAGTGGCAACAGAGGCGACCGAGGCACAAAAAATGAACACTGATCTCAAAGTGGATGCTATGGCCTGGATGGTTTCAAAACACTATTTTAAACGCGATTTTGCCTCTAGGTGGGGCATTTTTAAGCAATGATATATTGGACCCATTTTAAACACCTTTTTATTCCATTTGAAGCCAGGGATCCAGATCAGTTTAAAGTCCCTGAGTCCCTGAAGTGGATGCGCCATTTCGATTGTGGTTTTGTTTAAACAAATGATTGCTTAGGTCCCTTCTTAGATTATAAACAAAACAACAAAAACAAAAATAAACAAACAAACTATAGGAATCACTAGCAAGCAAGCTTAGAAAAGGTTAGATTCCACTTTACCCAAAGATGTGACTGGAAGCCATCCTGCTTGTGCATCCCTCTAAAAGAAAAAAGGAAAGAGGCTCAAGCCAGAAAACGGACCTCTTTTGACATCCATGTAAGCAGCTGCAGGTGAAGATAGAATCATGAGGCTGGTTGATTGATATTCAGGGACTCTCATTGCAAAGGCTAGATATTTCTAAACTATCTCGTTTTTTGTTTTAGTTTTGCTTTATATTATTTTGCTTTTTAAGTTTCCGGCTAAGAGATGTCCTTAAAATGAGCATTGCTGTGTGCAGGGAATTACAGCATTGTGATACTTGGAAGCAATAATATGCTTCAAAATAAGGTCACTAACCATCAAATGCCATCGAAGTTCCGCACACCATTAGAACTAGGTTGTGTGTGCATGAAACTCAGAGAGATCACTTAAACCTTCCACAAACTTGTCTTGAAGAATCTGATACATGATCTTTTGTTGTAATATTCAATCTGTTGTTTTTCCACTTGCTTTCAATTCATCACCACCACATACGAAAGAGAAAGTAGAACAGCTTGGGGTGGCATACAAATATAATTACTCTTGTGAAAGTATGCATATTTATCTTTTTTTTTTTTTTTTTTTTTTTTTTTTGCTACTCCCATTTCACTTCTTTTTCTAGCTCTAAAGAAACGAATGCTCCTTGCTGGTAATATATAGCACTTATGTGTTACTTCTAAGTGAGAACATACTTTTTACAATTTCTAGGCCACTGATTGTAGTGCATTTTTCAAAATTTCCTTTGCATCAAAAAGGAAATCAAATGAAAGCACATCAGGCTTGAAAGGCCACTGGTGATATCACAGAACCTTAGCAAGCCCATCTGCAAATGACAGCTCAGATCACGGAGTTTGCTCAGCACACCACCTTTAGAAAAAAATAATAACTAAAAAA